ACCATAATTTTCTCAGTTACAGACCTGACCACCTAACAGCAATAAAGTCAAAACAAAAGAAATACAGAACAAAACCATAATAGCCATCACACGCTATACACAACAGTCAGTGCATTTTCTTTTTGTTCATTTATGTTTGCACAGGAACAACCCCAAACCTACTCTTTGCTTCCCTTAGCTGGCAAGTTTGGAAATATGGCATAAAAAGCAATTTAGTATCACTTATTGTGAGCAGACAAGTACCTGCAGAGTGGTCCCCGTCACGGGAGCTTACAACCCACAGTGCTGCTCCCACAGCTACCTCCATTCACGCACAGAATCAGCTGCAATATTGGGCTTCAAAGACAAAGCAGAGCATCTCCAACACTTCCTTCACCTCCCCTAGTTATCCCTTGCTGTAAGCAGGAGAGAGCCTCCAGAACTGGCGGTCTGCAGCAGAGCAAAAGGGAGAGCCAGAGGCCTGTTGCTAGAGACATGACAAGCTAGCTGCCCCGCAGATTTCTGTTCTGCCATTTCACTGCTGAGCTCCTATACAACTTAGCCCAAATCTACATCTAACTGACTACATCTAACCTGATGCACAAGCTCTGACTCACCATTTCCCGTAGAGCAGATTCCTGTGCGATGGCAGGGAGTATTTCTTAAGGACCTAACAATTTAACAGAGGGCAAGCAAGGGCATGATTTTACTACACGCTAGCTGCTCTGTGGTAACCACGTATATGCTTCACCCTATGCTAAATGGGAGTTCATAGTCTACTCTTTCATTGAAAAGTAAACTCCCTTCAGTTACTTTACATCTATCACATGCAGAAGCACGTGGTTGGGCATTTACCAAGAAGCGGCTGATACGCATTTACCTGCCACCCTATAATGGCTTGTCTGAGTGTCCATTCCCCAGCAGCTCATGGACTGATGACGCTGCAGAGGTAATGGATTGAACAGTCCAGCCCATGAAGCAGATGTGCTGTCTTGCACATGCAAAGCTTAACAATGACACTAAGTCTCTATATTTAACTGACTGCAGTTGCAGTGGCCCTTTACCTGTCCCTCTACCTGTCTTAGAAGATGCTATCAGAGTGCGAAAAAAGGAGAAGCATGCAACGGGAACAGATAGAGTGGCAGACTGCTCTGCTTCTGTCATCCCCCACCTCTCTTCTGCTCCATAAAGACCCAACAGGTCCTGAGACATGGTCTTCATAAAATGACAGTTCAGCAAGAACAGCCCAGGAGACAAAGCTTGCTAACACCAGGGCAACCCAGTACTAATGAGAGAAAGGGTCATTATGACCAGCCAGGGTTGCTGAAAAACTGCCTAAGGAACAAAGGGTCACCACTGGCATCTCCAGAAAGGCTGTCTGCCCACAGGCAAGGCAAGACCACATAACAGCAAAGAGAAGCCCATGGGGCAGGACATGCTAACACTCCAGCATCAGAGGTTAATTCCCAAGTGCATGAGGGCTGTCAGCACTCTGCAGAAGTGCTAACCCATGGCCAGGTGCCTGACGCAGCCTGATAACACCTCCTGCACATGGCTCCTCCTTCACCAAGTTGGTGCTAAGGCTGGGTGAAGTCCAGAGGAGGATGCTTTATCTCTTTCATAAGAAGTCTACAGATTCAGCCATTTCCAGTGGCTTACAGTTTTGGGCAGCAGAGCTTAATTTCATAAGAAGTTAAATCATAAGCAGTTCCATGGATGCACAGCACCAGCAGAGAGAGAGAAACAAACACCACAGTCTGCACTGGAGTCCTCAGAGTCCTGAAAATTTGTGTAATCTGAAAGGTTCTCCTGGCCATCTTACACAATGCTCAGGGCTCCCAGAGGAGCCAGAAAGCCATGGCTCCAATGGCTCTAAGTGCTACTGAGTGGATAAGACTATTCACTACACAGCAAAAAGCACCATGGCAATAACCATCCCTAGTGTTGTACATGCAACAGGCAGTGACGCCTCTGAACTGATGTTCATGCTTGTCCCCCAGTAAGCTGTTGGCAGTGTAAGGTAAATTATTGCATGCCTGAATTACCAGCTGCAATACCAGTGATGTCTGGTTTCAAGCCCAAAAGACCTGTATACACAGAACTTCCACCTAAACATAAATCACATACATACACCTTTGGCTAGTGAGACAGCCAAGCCTGCACCCCACTCCTTAAGAGCATTCTTTAATCAAAGAAAGGATCTTTACTGGCTCGTTTCTTTCATGCTAAACCATCTTCAGGCATTAACATTTAATTTTCCCCAGACATTGCCAGGATCCTAAACTAAAGTTTTTCTTTATCACCAGCTTATCCCAAGAAAAGAGAAGTCCACATGCAGTAGGAAACAGCTCTCCCTCTTCTTAAGACTTCAGTAAGTGGACTAAAGAAACTCCTGAAAAGCTTTACCAGTCCCAGAGAGAAGTCACTGTTCATTGTGGGTGACCAGTTTTGCTCCTTGCTCAGACTTTTGGCTACTAATGCCACAAGTGCAATCAGAATGCCTGAGTTGTACCCCCCTACTATCCTCCAGAACCATCTGGCCCAAATTATATTATAAAAGCAGAGGATGTTACCACATTCACCCTTTATTGAATCCTGGGAAAAACGCTTTGAGATCAGCCCCAAACTATTTTACTAGCTCTCCTCAACCTTGCTGAAAAAGCCCCCAAATTACAGAGTTAATTGGCAGCACATTGTTACCATATGTGGTGTGCAAGAGAAGCACTGAAGTTTATTTAGGCATCAGAACCAAAGAAGAGTAGAATATTACTGCTCTTTATGAGGATTTCGTGTTGGCCTTGATTACTAAGGCATCCCCAGCCTTGATCCTCCTGTGTGTAGCCTGCCCAACATACCACAGCACACTGCAGCGTGGGGGACACAATCTGTCCCCATCCTGGTTCCCCAGGAGAAACTCAGGACACATACTGTTTGCTGTGCTTTTGCTTACTAGACCTCTGCATTTTCCTTTTCTAGGTTCATATGCTTCTTTATTGAGTGAAGTTTTCCAGGCTGCCTCGCATCTCTAAAGCGTGACCCTGAACCCAACCAGCTATGCTCTGCGGCTGCTGGGTCACACTGTCTCTTGTGGAGCAATTCTCCTTGCTCTAGCTGCCTCACTCATCTTGCTGGATCTCTCTCAAATCTTTAATGAGAGTTGGATTCCTGGTCTACAGGCTCTGATTTCCACTCTTCCCATTTAAACTCTCAGTGGGAAAAGGTCTGTAGCAAATTTGTATCACCAGGATCCTACTCAGACTCTTCTTCCCTCTTTACGCTGGCAGCAGTAGCTTCTGTCAGAGCCTGTGCACTGATGCAGCAGCATTCACTAAAGCATGAAGTCCCAGCAGCTCCATGACAGCAGTCCATAGCTGATGTCTGCAGTAAAATCTGTACCCACAGGCTAGAAATATTCTCCCTGTTTTTAAATTCTGACAGAATCACTAGAGTAGAGTGTGCTTGCACAGACAGCACAGGGTATACTAACATCCCAGCTCCACAGGTGCACCTGCAGAGCTCCTGTTGCTCTATCTGAAGGAATGAACTACAATTTACACAATCTAGCAGGGGTCATGAGCAAAGATTGCTTGACTTAAACCTCCATAAACTATTTTTAAATGCTCAAATGGACTCATGAAGTTAAACATCAGGTTTCAATTAAGATGCCTTCATTTCCCAATCTGATGTGTGTTAAACAACCTATCAAAACCTCATAAACTTCAGTTCACAGCATTTTCATTTCCGGATTCTCTCTTCTCCTCTAAGCTTAAGTAATATCTTTGTGTATTAAAATAACGTGTTCTAAAATAAAAACAAATCTGGAGAAAATAAAGGCAAAAGTCTGATGATTTCTGTCCTCTGTTGGGGCAGCAGTCCTGATTTTCTGGAAGACAAATCAAGACCACATCGTTCTAAGGGTAAGTTCCGGAGAATGCAGAGAGGTGAAGTAAGTTAATTCCTAGCTGATGGGAATATTTGGGATAAGATACCTTCGGTGCACAGAGCAAAAATCCAGTGCTTCCAGAAAGCCATGACGGCTTCTGTACGTACATATGCAGCAATACATTTCACAAAAGACCCATTCTATGTGGCTGAATCCGTCTGCACACCTTGCACACTGCGTTTTAAGAAGTGAATTTCTTACATCCAGGCACCCACCCATCTGATCTGCACAAAACAAACGTCTCTATGTCGTGTAGTCTTCAGAAATATTAATTAGAACATGGAAAATGAGGCACTATTGTCTAGTCCAAATTCATGCTGTGACATGGCAAATCTCCTGTACTGATAACAATGGAAGGACAATGCTGGGGCAGAGCAAGCAGACCTTGTCCAGCAAAAGTGCTTCTCTCTGGGTTTGTCAGCTGTGCTAATGTGCCCAAAAATGTCACATGTGGTCTCTATCAACAACTATATCACATGCGTACGTGAGTAATTTACCCACCCAAGTAATACTTTCTGTAATGGTTGATATATTAGGTAGAGCAAATATAAATAGGTTCTGAGGGCAGTGTTGCAGTGTGAGATAATCCAGAAAAACCAAGTCACCACCTACTCCATACTAACACTTCAAAAAGCTGTACTAGGGGTGAGAGACATGAGAATGACCATGAAGGTATTTTGTTAATAACAATGACCTAAAACTGTGTTTTGCATTGCTTTCTTTTGTAAGCTTTTACATCTAAAACTAGTTGCTGTAAGATCAGAATTTATTACCAAAGGCCTCATAAAACAAACCTTTACCCTCTTTTACTATAAGCCTGGGATGCAACTTTACAGTTGCTTTCAAGGCACTGCTGAAATGTTGATGATGTCCCACAAAATCCTCAGTGTGTTCCAAGGAAGGATCTTGCCTTGGCCTGAAGGAGGCTGAGCGCTGCCACCATAACAGAGCCAAAGTCCCTTCCCTTCAATGTCCAACAAAGGAGGCCCAAAGGAAAAAGAAAGAACAGCGTAAGCCTACTCTGCTGCTTGGTGTCTCATCCTTCCCCATGGTTTTGCTTGCTTTGCTTTATACCTACCCCTCTGCCCATCAGGCCGTTGTTGAAAGGCAGTCCGATGAAGCTGAAAGCTGCCTCCTGGATGAAGTAGGGATTCAGGATACGTATCTCACGAGGTTCTCTTGGGACACGGGTTGCCACTGACTTCCAAAAGCCATCAGAGGCACTCTGGTAACAAAAAAAGGAAGAAAAAGGAAAAGATAAAACAACAAACACAATTCTATACAGAAGATAGCAGATTGCTATTATTCTTTTTAAAAAAAAAATTAAAATGCACTACTGGCAGCAGTTCCCGCTGTCCGTGCTCACTGCCACAAGGCACTAGCATAAGGTTGTAGTGGGGGGTGCATCCTGGAGGGGCGATAGCGTCATGTGCAGATGCGCTTGAGCTAGTCTGGATGACAAGTGTAAGGAAGACAGAGGCCTGGACTTCAGCACAAATGACCCCCTCCCTGGTGCTATCTCTTCACTCTTATTGGCACTTCAGCTAGTTTGGTTAATGGCTTAAGCATTCCAGCACACGCTGTGATCACTCCCACCTGCCTCCAAAGGGATGTACCCTTGGACAGCAAATGCTTTTAAGAATATTCAAAGAGCTAAAAATGACCGTACAGCTCTACCTTCAGTGTGAGCTACATGCTTCCCAATTTATCCTAGATTTATCCTCTTCTGTTAGGTTTTATGTGAGTTAAGCTGTAAGCTTATAAAGGTGCCATCTTGTCTTGTGAAGTCATGCACAGTCATGGTACAAGGGAAAAAACAACTAAGTATGTCCTTTATGTTTACCCAATAGATTGTGTTTTATTAAAGTCTTCACCCTGCAAACATGGGAGAACACTGGCCTTGAATACTGCTGCCCTGCTAGTCAGTCCTGCACAGAGAAGGGCTCCTGCCTCTCTGCCACATTACTTTATATCATTGCTCCTGCTTGTCCAGATGTTAGTGGGTATAGCATGTACTGCCTTCAAAATAACCGGAGGCTCCATGTCCACAGGGCTTACAGAACAATTACGTTCTAACGTTTCATTTCTGTTTGGATTAAAAATTCAGAGCAAGGCACAGGGAGGATGGCAGGAATTTTAATCTGCTAACCAACAGCTTTGACAGCGTAATCTGATTGAATACCTCCTTCTCACAGCGTTGAGCCATCTTCCCTGCAATCTCCATGACACGCAACAGAGGCAGACATTACGCTCTCCATAAAAAGCATGTGCTTTGGAAGTCATTATTTACACTGGTTTTGGGTTGCTTGCAGCTTAACAGTGACTTTACAGTTGCTTTCAAGGCACTACTGAAAATGTTGATGATCCCCTGCAAAATCCTCAGGAGCCTCCCCTGCCCAGTATTGATTACCCCTGTAATTACTGACAGTAATTCTGCCACAGCCGATGCCTGCTACATTTCACACACTACTTGTACTCCGCACGGCTCCTCTGAACTCTCATGTCACGTGGTGCTAAACACCTTACAGAGGCCTCTTTACGGAACAATCCCATGATTATCTTCAGCTGCTGAATTTGAGATCCTGAAGAATGAAACTTTGGTAGATGGCTCTTGCTACAAAAGGCATTAACACAGCAAACTTGATGAGGATGCACAGTGTTATCCAAACCAACAGTCTAAGACAGCCAAACGCCATTGCCATCCTGTTTTGATCCCACGTGACCCCTCAAAGCTGTCCAAACATAATACACTTTTGCTGACCAGGGCAAGGATCCTGTGAGTTTAAGTTTGCATTTCAACAATGGCAAAGTGCTCTCAGGTTCCTAAATGGAAAAAAATCCCGATTAACACTCATGTTCTTTCATCATAGTTGAATTAGAAAGAATGCCTGGTGTCAAAGCAGTCTAACACTTTCCATTTTCAGCCACTGAGTGATCCCACCATTTAAAAAAAAAAAATAAGAGAAAAAAAAAAAATCAACTTTACAAATGTTAACAAAGTCCAACATCCATTTGACCAAGGGATTTGAGGGATTTGGTATGTCAGCTGAGTTTTGCCTCCTTGTGAAAATTCATTAAAAATTGGATAAATATTAAACCTTTGGAATTTCCTAAAGGCACACATAAAGCAGAGGCCTTTCAGTTCCAGGGAAGGAGCGAAAAAAGAAAACGTAAATATATTAAAAAAAAAAAAAAAAAATCACAGATCCCACTTGCATTAAGAACGTTCCAGGTCTCAGAGAAAAGAAGATGATAAACAAAAATCTCGAACAGCTACTCATTCAGCGAAACAATCTTATCATGGGTTTAAGCAGGCACACCCTGGAAAAATAGTGTGTGACCTTAAAACTAAAATAAATTTATAAGTTCAATTACGATTTCATGTGCAACTCTAAATATGGCATTGCCTAAATTTTGCAAACAATTCAAACCAAAGGTCTGCAAGCTATTTAAAGAGAACAAAAGCCACCTTTTGTTTGGACTCACACTCCATAGGAGATTCTATGTAAGTTCTGGGATTTAAGTAGGTTTTACATGGCTTTTACATTACACGGAAAACATTAAAAAGAAAAGAAAAAGAAGAAAGATTACAAACATTTGACACTTTTATTCTTTGCTGTTGCTTGAGCTGTTCAGAAAGAGATAACTACAGATAATTGCAGTTGCCCATTTTCCCAGTGCTGTGTGAACCGCTAGGACCATACCTGGGCTCCTCTCCGCTAGTTCAATGCCAGTGCCAAATAAATGTGGACCCTATCCCTAGCTGAGAATACAGCCTGTCTGCTTTGGTCCCTTCTATGTGGCTGTTTCTCCCGTCATTCATCTGGACTATTATCCTAAGCATCTTCCTCAGCTATCCCACTACTCTGAAATTGCTCTGGTTTCCCCCTTCTGTCTCATTTCTATTTGCTCTGCGTTCCTCCCTGTAACTTTTCTGGGCAGTTCCCTTGAGATTATTACTGAGGGACACCTGGGGTAATCTTTCATTTTGGTGTGTTTTCCTTCTGTAGTTTCTAAAACAATTGTAGGGAGAAACGTGGAGTCTCAGCAGACAGCTCTCATACTTCCACCTATACAGTAGGCAAAGCTCCATATAAGGCTAAAGAACTAAAAACTGTTTTCCTGGCTTATAATTACTGAAATTCTCAGCCTTGTGGTTTGGCTCTACAAATCCTGTAGTTTCGAGCTACATCTCAAGCCTTGTGGTTTTGTTCTGCAGCTTGTCACTGGCAAGCTACAAAACACAGCACCACCACAACTGCAAGCCCTGGGAGGATGCTCCCCTGACGCAACCCCCTTGGGAGCTGCAGCGTCGGGAGCGCAGCCCCTTCCAAGGCTCCATGCTACCGCTGATGCTCAGCCGCGGGCCGCTGCTACGCCTGGTGTGGATGTTCAGTCTGATTGGACACAGATGTTCAGTGAGGTTTCCAAAGCAATGACTTCCCATCGGGGAACGCTGTCCCTTTTTAGGCTGGGAGGAGACAGGCAGCCACCCGAGGAGTAGCAGGCACTGGGAGAGAAGACACGCTCTTCCTGCCAGATTCGGGAGCTCAGACTCACAGTTTGAGGTTGGGGGCATCCCCTGTGCTCCGCTACAGTGACTAAGCCTGCAGTGCTTAAGGGTGGGCCTCTGAAGATGCAACATCTCCCCTCCTGATTGTCATAATGGTAAGTCAGAACGTGAGTCTGAAAACTGCTTAGGCAATGTTCCCACAGTACCTCATCACCTCCTGGCATCGAGGTGGAAACCACAGGGTCCAGGCTGGAAATCAGGTTTCCCCGCGTTAAGTTCTTTAACTTAACTTAACTTAACACCTTTACTATTTGTTGGTATTACCGTGCACCTGGAGCCTCAGTCACAGAGCAGCGTTCATGGTGTGAAGGGCTGCCAAAAAGAGCTTATAGGATAAGCATAAAGAAACTAGCGACGCAGAGAGACAGACAGAAAAACATGATTGAAGAGCAAGTCTCTGAGGGCCACAGCATTTTTAAGCAATCTTGGAGTATTTTCAAAATTGTATACTTGTAAAGGACATCACTAAAGGCTTTAGAGGAGACTATTTAAAAAGTAGAAAGAATTTAGATGGGCCAGGGCTTTCAAGCCAGTCTCTTGTACGGCTCTCATCCAGGGAGAGAGAAATATCCCCTCTAGAAACACCACTCCAAGGAATGAACAGGTACAGATATGACAGACCAGAGATGGCAGGTTATGAGGAAGGGATAAAAAAATGGCAGGGCTCACCTAACAGCTACAGGGACAAGACAGTCCAGCTATAATTCCTCATTCTGTCCACTGGCAGAATACTGAACGGTAATAGGGACAGCTGCTTGTAAGCTATTTTTGTCTCCATTCAGTTTCCCATCATCTCAGATTTACCAAGGCGAATCACAACATATGCTAAAATAAAATGTGGAAACTCGGAGCCTTAGCCAAGAAGCACACCTCAACAGAAGAGACAAACAGCTAGAAGCAGGCTGAGTCTCCCAGAATAACATCATTTCTAATATACTAAGCAAAATGAGAGGTAATGCTGTTGTATCCTGATTACACGGACGCTGCCTCTTCTGTACCTCTGTGAGACTGCTGGATTTAGGAGTACAAGCAGCATTGCTCCGGCAGACTTCTAAGTCTGATGGGAAGGGGGCAAGGAGATTGCAAAGGTCAGCTAAGCAAAACACAAAGTTGAATAAAGTCTAGGTATGCAATACTCTGCTGCAAAGCAACAAAAAAAGATTAAGAGACTGAAGAGAGAACCTGTGGTAAATGGATATTATTGCTCTTTCAAACTCTGATAACACCAGAAACGGAGAGGAAGAAGGGCATGAGGGAAAGAAACAGCCAGGGGATGACATAGCAGTCACAAGACCTCACTGTGCCTGGGATCACATAGTTCACTGGGACCTCTGCCCCGACCTAGGCTGGAATGTGGTTTATTCTATACCTGTCATCCACAAGCACTCACTGTCACACAAACACAGGGTACAGCAGGACCGCTGTAATCCATCTGCAGAGGCTTTTGAAAGGTTTCTGTCCAGGCATAACTGGATTAGATGTGGAAGGTGTGTTTCTGCTAGAAAATAACCATCTTATCAGCCAATGCTGCATTTCTCAGCAGTCAAGTAGACACGGAGGCCTAGAAAATGCTCTTCTACAAGTGGTAATATAAATGAAGTTGCATCATTTGCACCGATTATCAAAGCAACAAGGAATTTTTAGCAACAAGA